CCATTAAGCATTAACTCCTAGGTTGTTTGCCTTTAGCCCATCAGCTTCTGAGAGTTTTGAGCTACTCCACTATTAGTTTTGAGCAGCTCCGCAATTAGGTAACCCTCAATCTCTGAACAAATTTATTCCTTCCACTTCTCTTTGAAAGTCATTCTGTATCTCAGACTCTTGTTTGCCTTTTAATGGCTCCCAGCCTTTGCCTCTGCACCCAGTGCAGTCGCCTCACCGTGTGACCTAGAACTCCTCCATATGCTATTAGCAAAAAGCTGTCAGATCTGTAGGGCCTGTCCAACAACAGCTTCCTGCATGGAGAAACAAGCACCCTTGAGCTGCTTCTCTAGACTCCAGCTCAGCCAGTCCTTCCCTTTTCATCGGTGCAAACAGCAGTTCCAGGCTTCTTGCCCAGACATTGCTACTCAACCACAAACCTCGGCCAGTTTGCTCCAAACTTGCTAGAGTCATCTACGTGCCTTCTTGCTTGATGCTATGTTAGTCATTCACCTCTACAGGAGGGCTGGAGTTGCTCTCGGCTCCTTCCCTTCTCACTGCTACACTGATATTTGCATCTGGTTAATAAAGTTTTGGTGCAAAAGATGTGGTTTGGGTTTTGCCTACTATCAGTAGGGGTGCAAAGGTAAATGTTTGTCTTGTGAAGAAAATTCATGTCTTATTAAGCTGATTATAAAGAATATTGTTCCTCAGCTCTACACGTAAATGGAAAACTTAACAGGCCTTCTTGAGCTATAGGTTTAAATCCGAGCTGGCTACAGCTGACCTGAACTGGAAGATGAATCGATGGATCTGCGTGGAAGGAAGAGTTGGCGAAGGAAACTCAATCTTGCTTTGGAGAGCTGTGCTGTGTCACTGCGTCTGCTGGAGGGTTCCTTGGTGAAGTCAGTCTGATGGTTTGAAGCAGACTTCTCATGGATGTGTCTGCCCGTGAGGTGTTCCTTATTTTGGGGGTATTCAACATGAAACTTGGGGCAGTGACTGAAGAAGAGTAAGTGCTTATTCTGGTGCATTCCCCGAGCTGCTGCTTCTGGTGCCCTCAGCCTTCTGGCCTTCTGCAGAGGTGATTTTGCTGGTTGTGTAGCAAATGCTGAATCACAGCAGTCCCGTCCAGTGTATTTGGTGTATTTCTAAAACATATTTAAATTGCAGTGGTTCACAAATAGAAAAGCCCATTTAAGAAGAGACAGATGAACAACTTTTACCCCTGGGTATCTTGGGACAGACAGCAGTCCATGAACATGTACTTGTAGTATCTCGCAGAAAGTCTGCAGGTGGAGAGCTTTATATGCTTTTAAAATTAATTCCTTAATAGGTTTATGCTAACTCATTATAGCTGTTACAATGGTACAGAGGGATAATATTTCTACTGATACTTTATATGCAGTTTGCAGCCAAGCTTAATATGCAGTCTTGGTTGTCTACAGATCTAAGAACCAAAATCGGAGACCACCAAGATCTGTGTTCTAAAGAGATGCAAAGACATGAATGAAGGTAAAGAATTGAAGACGACACCCAGCTGATAGTTACTGAGTAAGAAGCTGGAAGTTGCTAATAGAGTTCAGTGAGCAGTCGTGTATTTTTAATTGCTTGATTATACCCAGTAAAAAGCCATGCCCTCATAGCTTACAGCTGTGATGACATTGTCCAGAAATTGGCAGGCAGGAGAATTTGTAATGTGTTCATGAACTGGGCTTTCTTTTAGTTGAAATGTACCCTTTAAAGAGGGAACATGCTATATAGGCAGCAGTATTGCGATGAAAGTCTTTTCTTTGCAGTGCTAAAACTGCTAGGAACTTCCTAGGTTCATGAATTCATGAACGAAGGCTCCGATTACCTTCAAAGATGAGATTTCCTCTTTGCTTTCTTTTAAGGCATCTGGCTGTGCAACCAGAGCTTGAACCAGTAGAAACTAGTTGCCGCAGGCGGTTGCGTGGTGGTCAGTATTTACCCGTGTTTGTGATACCTGGATGGACGCTGGGTCCTGGGGATTGTGCCGAGCAGGACGTACCGCGGGCGCTATGTGAACTGTGGCCTGCAGAGTGTAGGTTGGAGGTGCAGCGTGAAGGTTTGTAGAGGGAGACGGGAGGCATCCCAAAGCTTCCTGAGTTTGGCGTTGGGGTTAAAAGACATCAAGTATGTTCTGTGGTTCTGAACTAGAGGTCAAAAATCGGTAGCCCCCGCTGTGCAGTGGATTTTGCGCTGTATTCAGGAGGGTAATTACAACTGTCAGTGTTGTAATCTCTTTTTCTAGATGTTGATTTCCTGTGCAAATGAAGACTACTAAAAAAAAAACCCAACCAACCAAACAAAAAACCCCCAAAACAAAACAAACAAAAACCCAAACATACACTGCTTGCAGTTCTTTGTTACATTCTTCTGTGGTGTCAGGAGGGCTTTGGCTGTATTGATCTCGCTGCAGGACCAGGGTTTTAGTGCAGCACTGCACAGTGGAGCATTGCTATTAGTAATGTCAGTAGTTAGTAATGCCCAAACATACGTATTTTACATTGCTTAGGGTATTTTGCTCTGTTTATCCTGCATTAGGATTCCATGCAGTTTCTGTAGTGAGGAATTTGTTGTACATACTCATCTTATTGAAATGCTTTTTGACTTTAAATACCCATATCCTGTTTTTCACTACAGGATTGACCTCTGTAGGCTCTCATAGCAGCAGAACTAGCAATAAATATTTAACCTGTGGATCATGAAGTAATAATTTCATTTGAAAGAATAGCATAGCTTACAGGGAGTAAAATACAGAAAAACGCTTCTGCTAGGTTTTCTGTTTGGTGTTTAACACTATACGTTTAATCTTGGCGTGTGTCATATGCCACATTCAACTACTGTGCTAGAGAAAATGCATTTTCAAGGAAATGCTTCCCATGCATAATAACAACAACAGATGCGTGCAGTCAGATCACTTCACCTTCTTTCTACAAAACCATTTAAAAGAGCCAGAGTTTGAGGGGAAGGTCACTGTGGAAGTGGGGAGACGATCTAAGTTGTTGGAAGAGGATTTAGGTTCAGGGGATAGCACCGGGTCAGGAGGAGCATTGCCTGGGTTACTGGTGTAGACCAAAGCTCCAGTATAATGTGAAAATCCAGGATAAAATGACTGAGAACAACGAGGAAACAGCTGCAGAGAATGCTACCAGTGAGGTAGTGATGTTCCTACCTCTTGTAAACTGTTTTGCAGAAACGCTTTATGAATTAAGGCTTTGTAATTGAAAACTTTTAGCTCAAACTAAGTCAACAAGAGACTCCAGGATGAGCTAATAATAAAATTGATGCTCATAGGAGGGAGAGAAAAAAGGTATGAGCTTTTCACCTGCATGGGTAGAGCTGACCGTAGGATGAGATTGGACTGGTTTAGGTAACCGTAATGTATTTAAACAGGGCTAAAGGCTGGACCCAGTCTGCCTAGAAACAGGTTGGCGAGTAGATCTGCTTCATGTTGTAAAAAATGCAGCTGCACGTTGGTGATGAGGCTGACTCTGGCACTGCAGGTGCGGTGAGAACCTTGCTTCTCCCCAGCTTGGCACCCGGGGTTTGAACGAGGCCACCCTTAATAGATCGGATGTGTCTTAACGTTTCTTAATGTCTGTGAATTCATAGACATCTTAATGTTAAGGCTTTTCTGTTAATTTTTTCCTTTATAGTGTGTGTAGATACATGTAATTGTCATTCAGTATTTGCCTGCTAGTGTTTAGATACACTTATCTAGTCCCTAATTTTTTTTTTTGATTAAGTATTACAAAAAACTAAGTTTAGAAGAACTTTGTTTCTTTCTGAATTTCTCTCCTTCCCAGCTTGTTTGCAGAGGAGGAGGCTAGCAAAGGGTTTCTTTCATTCTTTTTTTCCCAGGTTTTTATCAGCCCCTTGGCAAGAATACCTGAGCACTTCCAGAGTCTTTATCTCATCCACCTTCATAGCACCGCCCTGGGATGGGGGAGTGTTACAGGGCCCATCTTGCAAGTCCCTGGGAAAATCATTTTAGATCATTTTAGGCAGTGGTAAGCTGGAAGCTGAACTCTGGCATCCTAAAGCTCAGGCTGGTATGTAAATTGCTGCCTCTTCCCTTACCCAAGACTTTCTCAAACCCTCATGTATTATCTTATGAAGGATTTTAGCTTTTCTGAGGCTAGGAACTGAAGAAAGAAACATTTTTGAGTCTGACTAGAAACATTTGATTTATTTTTTTTCTCAGTTCTTGATTTGCAAGTGTAGTAAGGAAATATTTACATGAAATACAGAGCTGAAAAAACAGAACTCACTGTAGTCAATCAACGTGTCCCAAGTTGGTATACTAAAAGTCCTGCTTAACTAAAGCAAGTGACAAAGACTGTGGGTTTTTTTTGTTTGGGTTTTTGTTTTACTACTCAACCATTTCTTCCAGAAAGAAAAAAAGAAAATCCCACCTTCCTTGCTCAGGCAAAGCTCCTGCTGAAATCTAGCAGCAGAACAAGGAGAGCAAGAGGGAAACAGTGAACCTTAACCAAAAAAGTAAGGTCCTTTAATCCATATTTACCTTCTCAGTGCAGCCTCATGTTATGTTAGTTGAAAGAGTAAAGCTCCTAGGAGATACGTGGCACCACAAAAAGAGGGTGTGTAAGTGAGGGCATTTATTTCTAAGTCGTTTTGTAGCAAATTCAAATTTTGGCTGCATTTTAGAAAGAAGTATCACAGCATCAGAATTGACCTGTTTCTTTTGCCTGAACCACAGAGCTCTGTCACTGGGAATAGAGATGGCCTTTGGCCTTGGGAATTAATTTGAAAACCTCAGGTTTTGGAAGGAGCTGTGCTTTAGCGTGCAGTTCACAGAAGAAGTGCCTGCTTGCTGTCTGTGTGTTTGCTCCATCTTGTCTTTTCAAATTTGTCAAAGTAGAGTGCATGAGGAGTAGTAGCATTATAGATACAACGTAAGTGATGGGCTTATGGGGTGACAGCTCCCAGAAGACGATCCAGAAGCCAAAAGGTGCAGATGCTTATACGTGTCGGCTTGGCGTGCTAGGTTTCACATAGGGCTTCCCATTTGCAGGTCTAGAGAGAGAAAAGGTTTTGATTTACTTTGATGCGAAAGGAACAAGAAGGCAATTAATGTATGGCTGCTGGTCAGCTCGTTTAGCCTTGGTCTGCAGCCAGGGACCTCCAAGAGCAGGCTGCAAAGTGTTCCTAAATCCTCTTTGTGCTAGTGACGGATCTGCCAACATTTCAACTAGTGACAGCCGGTAGAAGGACTTTTCTTAAGATACACCGCTAATCAATTGTTACACTAATTAAAAAAAAAAAAAGGGGGGCTTTTTTTAGTTTGCCTCTGATTTCTGCACACTCCTGTCCTCTCATCAAGCTTTTCTCCACATTCAGAAATGAATGAATAAAGAGGAGCTCAGGGCTTTTTTGGTGTTGGGGAAGCTGTTATCAATTCATAAGGACTTCTTGTTGCAAACCAGTTTCCTGCAGAGGAGTTTAAAAAGAGGCTTTCTGGACAACCAGCGTGCTCCCAAAATGATAGAAATTACTGGTCTCCAGCAACTGATAGTTCTTTGTTGATTTAATGGGTTGGAGGTTTGGCACCCGTTTTCACTGAAAATTAATTTGTGGTGGAAAATGAATCCTTCAGCTGCCAGTGAGAATCCCAGGCCAGATCCTGAGGCACTCTTTAATTGAGTGAATTGCACTATTAACTTCCAAAGAGCTTCATTTCAATAAGCGGTAACAGCTCAGAGCAGCAGGATTCCTCTCTAAATAAAAGCTTAAATGTGCTACAATTGCTTAAACCAGGACTCTGTCATGTTAGCGCTGCTGAAGGAAAGCTGTCCTTGATGAGATGATTTCCTGAGGCACTTGTAACCCACTGCTCCATCAGTGCAAAATTGAAGAGCTCTGCAGCGTGTTTTTCCCCTTAGAGACAGAACATTTTTGCCCGGGGTTGGCAACAGGAATTGAGATAAGTGAAGAATGCAAGCATCGTCCTAAACAAGGCTGTGAGAAGAGCTCTTTGTTATCACTTAGCCCTGGGAAAGCCAGGCGAGGATCAGAAGAGCGCTGGGTATAAGAAGTATCCATCATAAAAATGACAGGCTGTTCCCTTTTTCAGACAGGTAAAAGAAAATGCAGGTCTGTGGGTGCAGCTGTATTCTGAGACATACACAGAAAGATTGTACCCAAAGAGCAGAAGGCATTGCCACTCAGTGCCTCTTCCCTTAAACACTATTATTATTCAGGCAATGATTTCTGACGCGTTCTGCCTTTAAAAAAAAAAAAAAAATTGTAAAATTGTAGGGATCCCTTTTCTGTTAATGCAGGGGGAGGGAGGTTCTTTCTGAGTGATCATATTAATTTGGACAACTAAAAAAACTATTAACTTTTTCACTTTGAAACCCATGCATGTATAACAAGGAATTTGAATTTATCTGATTTAAAAGACGCTTGATTTGCAAAGAAGAAGGCTCCAGAGGTGTGACAATACTGTTCCAAACTTTCTTGCAACCCAGTTTTTCCAAGCGCTAGCGCTAGGCTGGAGCAGCAGCAGGGATTTCGGTGCTGGAGCGTTCTCTTGCCGCAAGCCCTCGGGTGCACTCTCGGCACAAAGCTCGCAGAACTGCAGAAGCGGGTTTCTGCAGAGCAGGCGAAGTGAAGAAACCGGCTGCAGGGAGGTCGATTTGCAGAAGCAAAATGCGTGTTACTTGCTGGCAAAAGGATTTCTTGTTCAAAACTGGCAAATTGCAATTCTTATTGCGATAGTGTTTTCCTGGTGACTCAGGATGATGGGTGGGTTGGGGAGGCAGGAGGGAAAGCATAAAAAAAGGATTCCTGTCTGCCCTAGAAAATAGGTTAACTCTAAAGCTATACATATCTGCATTGCTGTTTCTTAGGAAAGTCATCTAGGGCTCATCAGCCTCTCTGCTACTGTTACTTAGAGGCACAAAGCCATGGTGATGGTCCAAAATTACGCAGAGGGGGATTTGGGATGCGATAACCTGCATCTAATCCACGGGCACAACCTGAAGGTCCAGTGATGAAATCAAATGAACACTCTGGGGAGGGGAAGGAATGAAATATGGTCCCCCCAGGCTGAAGTTGGAGCAGTGCTCTGGGAGTGCTGAAATGTGATGTTAGTTCTGAGCGTCGGGTGATGCACAAAGTTTTTAGGCTGCCACAAACACCTGCTGTCTTTCTGTTTAGTACCTACTGCAGTGTCAGCGCTCAGTGATTTGAATTACTTAAAATTGAAAAAAAAACAAACACAGAAGAAGAGAATCTTATCTCTTTTTCTTGCCCTTAATTCATTACACAGTCCCCTCCCATCCACCGTATATCGGATGAAGAATTTTTAGGTCGCTTTTTGGCACCTGCCTGCTTTATCTCTTGAGGGCGAGATGCTGCTGAGTTTAAAAAAATGTCAACACTTGTCACTTACTAACCTTTTACATCTGCATCTTCGTCTTCTGGTTTCTAAAATAAAAAAGAAAACGTTTTAGTTCAAAGATACCGAGTCACAGCTCAGTAAACGAAACACTGCAGCAAGGGAGGGCTGGCATTCCCTAGCAGCTTCCTATCTTTAAGACTAACAACAGAAACCAAGCTTATTTTTGAGGAAAGCCGTGCAAGTGAGTGGTGCTGCAGCTCACGTTTCCCTGGCAGTCCACTTAAGAATTTTCATGAATTAAATTTTCATGTGAGTAACAGTAGCAGGGTCAGCCTGGGAACACTGACAGTGAATTTTTTTTTTTTTTTTTTTGCTGTCTCCAGCAACTTTGGCATGTTGCTGAAAATCCATCGGCAGCAATTAATTTCTACAACAGACGAGCGGCAATGATGCCGTGCAGCATGCAACCAAGTTGAACGATACTCTTCCCCATTTTAGCATCTATGTTGTTATGTATTCAGTGAAATACAATGTCGAGCCATTGATTTTTAGCACAAGGTAAAAACCTGTCCTTGAGGGTTCGGGCTGCCTGCTGCAGAAATTAATTGCAGCTAATGGCTTTTCACTGATCGTTCACCTCAGCATTAAAAGGCAGAAATAAATCACTGAGTGGCATTTGTAGGTTAATAGATGTTGCAGGTCACCAGGGAATCCTAGTGCTCGTGGAGGGCTCCTGGTGACTTCAGAGGGAATTTGGACCAACTCCGGGTGCTCTGCTGCATCATCAGCTATTTCCCTCGAGAAGAGTGACTTTTGGCTGTGGCTCATCTGTGTTTTTTCATTTATTCCTTCCTGTCAGTGCGGACCGTGGTGATTAGTATTTTTTCAGCATCCTTCAGCCCTGAAATGTTTGGTTTTTTTTTTAACTGGTTCAGCTGGCAAATTCATCTCATACCGGCTCCAGGCTGCGGGGTCAGTGAGGATCTAGTTAGGTTAATTCAGCAGCAAAACACTTTGGCGTTCCAGGCAAACAAGCTGAGCTGGTTTAATGAAATCAGTGTAACTTCTGGGGGTATCGGGAAACTCCCTGTAGGAAAGTTAAACTGATTTCAGTGAGAGTTAAATTGATTTAAATACATTTGGCATTCACTGCTTGCTCAGGGTAATTTAAAGACATTTCAAACATGAAATTTCACCAAAGGACTTTTGCCTACCCAGAGATTTTGCATTACTGCTTTAACTGTAGCAGTCTCTGAACCTGTGTAATTAAGTTGCTCATTTGATTACAGCTCAAACTGCTAGTGGGAGTCTTGGCATTTGAATTTGCAAGCCCCGTGCTGGAGCATGTCTATCCTATTTTGCCAGCGTTTCAGGTTCTGGTACTTTTACCCCCTGATACACCAGTATAAGGATGGTAGAGGCAATACAGCTTCATAGAGTAAGTTTTCTCTATTTAAATTCTATTTTTCTTCCTTGTAGTGTAGAAATTGATACTCATTTCTCAGGCTAAGCCTACTGATGAGGAAAATACGGACACTGATTTTTCTTTTTTTTTTTTTTTTAACAGTGGTCCTTCTCTTGGGTTGACTGTTACCCTGGTTATCTGATGCCTACGTAAAGGGGATAGCTAGAAGATCCATTCCCCTGAAGGACAGGGCTGCGGTTTCGGGCTAGAGGAATATCTACAGGGGGTTATGGGTGAGCCTTACGTTGACACAGCACGATGGTGACAGCCAGGGCGATGAGGAGCAGGAGGCAAGCGCCTGCCAAGGGAACCCAGATGAAGATGTCACAGACGAAATCCAGCTCTTTCTCCTTGTTGGTCTCTGCAGGAATAGAGAAGAGGAAAGGTCTACCGGGTGCTCATGGCTGGTGTTACGGCCAGCTCTGATGGAGCCAAGGGACCCGCCTGGTGTTCAGCGAGGCCGGTGGTGAGGCAGAGGGCTTCCCCTGGCCCCTAAAGACAGAGGTGGGCACCAGGGATGTCCACGAGCGCAGCATGGGTTGTCATCCCCAGTGGTGAGCGTTCGTGCTGCTGCTCTAGGCGTTTTCCTGGGGACTTGTGGGAGGACACGTAGCCAAAAGTTTTCTCATGTCCCCTGCCGAGGCTAAAACCAGCACCAGCCCCCAAGGCTTTGCCTTCCCTCCACCTCTTCCCAGCCAGGAGACATGCTCATGCTTTTTAAGTCATCCTTAGCCTTTCCTAAGTAGGATGAAATGTTGGGGTTTAACCCTCCCAGCTGCACATTCCCAGGCATCCAACTCCGATAAAGCTCTGAGGATTTTTCCCTCCCCCTCCCATCCCAAAATGCCTGCAGGATCCCCCCCGGTATCAGGGGACCAGAGCCCAGCTCTTCCCCTCTCCCTCCCTGCAGCTGGGCTACCTGGATCCAGGGTCTTCAGGCAGGGGTCCTTTTCGGTGATGCCACCCTGGGTGGTGGGTGCTGGTGTGGTGGGTGCTGCTGTGGTGGTGACTATAAATGAAAATGGATGAATACAGTATAGAGGGAAATACAATAAAATAACTCTCGCCTGCCCTTCTGCTCTCCCACCCCTGCCAGGGCACGGCTGCTCCTGTGGCCAGCGTAGGGCTCAGCTCCAGGGGAACTTCACAGAGCCCATTTTGGATGGTGACTCCCCCAAGGAGGGTCTCCCAACACCCAATAAAGAGCTGCAGGCTCCTTATTTCTTGCTTTCTGCCACCATCCTCAGAAAGCCTGAGTACCCTGAGGGTGGTAGGACTTTTGGAATCTATGTGAGGTGAAGAAGGAGGGGGGGGTGGTGGACTTCGCTTTAGCCTCATCCCTTCAGAGCCATGGATGGGTGGAGAAGTGGGGATGGGGAGGTGATGCTGGGTCTGCCCGTTCATCTTTGCCTTTGGGCAGGGGTGATACCACGAGAAGAAACGGCAAGCAGGGAGCCTCTGGCAGGAGGACGGGTGCGTTGGTCACAAGATGCCTTGGGCAAGCAAGCAAGGAAATGGGGTTTGTGAGAGAGGCGACTGATTAAAAAGGCATGGGCAAGGGGTGCTGGACATTTTGGCAGAGCTAAGCAAGGTTGGGTGGAGGTGTTGCTGACCTGGGAAGAAGGCAGGCTGGCCTGGGCTGAAGTACAGCATTTGGTTGCTGTTCATGAGGCAGAAATAGTTCCCCTCATCCTGCGGTGTGAAAGACTTCACTACCAGCCGGTAGAACCTGCTGTCTTTCGTCGCCTCGAAGCGTGTGGATGTCTTCTCGTTCCCCTCAAAGGTGGTCCGATGCAGGGAGGAAATGAAGACGATGAAGTGAAGGGTCCCACCCTTGTCCAGGCGGATCCAGAATACGCCACTGTCCTCCTTGGCGGCCAGACACTCCAGCTCCAGCCGCTGTCCCACCCGGGGGTGCTTGATGCTGCTGTCACGAAACTTGGCTGTCATCTTGTACCTCTGGCTCCGGACCCCAGGGCAGCCTGCGGGAGAGAAATCCTCATGGGAACTGCTTGGGAAGAGCCACATTCCCTGTGGGCTAAACCTTGTTCCGTGTCCACGGGGTGTGAGGTCAAATGCAAAGGATGACCGTGCTGTCTGGATGACTTGAAGGTTTTGTTGGAGTCCTTGCTGGGATCGTGCGTGGAGGGTGCTCAGCAGTCAGCCACCCGGGCTTTAAAGACGGGTGCTGCCCTTCAGAAAAGCCTTTCAGCTGCCTTCTCGGGGATGGTACCCCTTCCCAGCTTATCTGAAGTGACTGCCTAAAAACACTGACTGCTAAATCCCCTTTTTTTTCCCCTTCCCTCTCTCCTCCAGAACCACTTCTCCCGCCGGGCTCCCTTCCTGGTGCCTATGATGCTGCAGCCACCCCTCTGGCTGCCCTATGCTGGCTGAGGTGATGCCACCTTTACCTCCACAATTACTGAGCAAACCTCAAAGTCAGCCTTTTTGGTTTGCTTTTTCTTTTCCCTTTAATTATTTAGCCCAATTTCTTGGATTCAGTGGAAGGGGTTTCCTTGCCCCTCCCGGTGAAGGTGATGCACAACCCTGTATCCATACTCACAGAGCCCCAGAGCGAGCAGAAGGAGCAGTGCAGGAGACCCGGCCATCTTCTCCTAGGGGTGGCCGTTCTCGGGGATGGTGCAGCAGAGCAGAGATGATCTTTCTCGCTTGCCTTAGGAGGCTGCATCGCTCTTTGGAGAGGATGTGATGTCATCAGGACCCTCTTGGGTAAAGAGATGATGTTCGCCATCTGCGGCAAAATGACGGGGAAAAAAAAAGATTTCTGAAGAAATTCAGTTCTCATCCAGAGTTTGGGCTCATTTACCGTTACCAGTTCTTAACGGTGCCTCAAGGATTTTGTCCTGATGGCTTCCCTAGAGATTCAGACTGACGATGCTTGTGCCTGAGGTAGGATTAGCCGCTGCAGCCCGCTGTCTCCCAGCCGTCTGGGGGTTCCCAGCAGCTCCAGCTCCAGAAGTCATGGACAAGCCCCGTGCTTGGGCTGCAGGCCCCGGGTTGCGTTTCTTGGCAGGGATTCTGCTGCCTTCTCTTGCGTGCACTCAAGGGGTCTCGTGCAGATGGCAGAGCACACTGTATTTTATTACCCAGCAAGCAAGACAGGGGTGTTTCATGGCATATATCCATATGTATTATTTATCTCCAAGCACATGCGTTGCTGACACGCAGCCGAGTTCTTCAGGCGCTCGATTGTTCTCTTTGCAATTCTTCTTTGCAATTGCTCTGCCAAAGCCGCTTTGTGCAAGGCAGGTGGTCCGTGATCTGAAACCCACAGCGAAAGCCCCATGCCCCAGGGTATGCATGGTTTGTTGTTTTTTTTTGTTGTTTTTTTTTTTTAACATCTTGTGGTTTTCTTCTCTAACCACAGGGGCTTCCGCCCTGCTGAAAAAACCTTTGTGTGCTTCAACGGAGAGGGCCCTTGCTGCTGCCTCCAGGTGACCACTTGCACGTGGGTATGGGTGATGCTTCCTGGAGCTTTGCACATACAGTAGCAACAGTTTCACCAGACTGTGAGGCACTGGGCTGGCGTATTATTTATTTCCTCCATTGGCGCTTTCCTGTTTATTATTTTTCTGTGCAAGGTGTTTTTCTATTACTCCTTTGCAAAGAAAACCCCCTTCTCCTGGGCATGTCGGGTGCTGATGACTTTGATGCCATCGCTATTGTGGCTGCAATTAGAGATGAGTTATGGAAAATGGTTTAGGAACTGGGTTTATTTCACTGGGCATCAAAGCATGTCAGTGAGTGAGGAAAGCTGCTGTTAGGCCTGCGATATATGAAATTCATACTTTCATGAGGCTGTGATACTTGTGATATCTACCTGAAATAGAGCAGATTTTGGCAAAATAAAGAGAAAAGAGGTTTTGTTAGTTAAACAACGTTACAAGGATCTCAGAATCCCATCAAGCAAATGTGAACATCAGGCTTGAGGTTCTTCCAAGGTTCTCCAGCCGTCTCCAGATGAGACATCGAGTCTACTTGCGTAGACTCTTTCTGGTTTAAGCGGGCAGTTTGTTCTCCTTATCCATAAGTAGAATTCATCCTCCCTTTTTAATGGGATAAGCTGCTCTTGGGAAGCACCTGTCTTCACGGGCTGACGGAGGAACGTAGGCAAGGAAACCGAAACCATGGGCCTGCCTTGTAGATGACTAATGTTGAGTCTCATGTTTTCTGGGATGCTGAAGCGAGCTGGTTCCTGCCATCCATCGGGATTGTTGTGTGAGTGCCCCCCCACTTCCATCACTATCACAACTCAGCGCCAGAAAATGAAATTTCAAAAGCATTTTCAAAAGCACCTCCCCCCCCCGCCCCGAGACCAAAGTAGGAAAATTCCCGATTCCCTTTGTTCAGTGTGGTTTGAATGGAAATGAACGTGCTGGCAAATCAGGATGTGGGGACCGAATGTTTGTCAGGGCTAGGTTCTCCGCCGTAGAGCGTGGATGCTTACCTACAGCACGTAGTGCGTGTCCTCAGAGATGTGGTGATGGATGTGTTGGGAGAACCTGTACAATTAAAGGATCATCCATGAAGGGGTATTGACTTTCTTAGTAGGGACATCTTAATTCTCTCTTGTCTCTGAATAACAGTAAATTTTATTATGAGTCAGTCCTGGGTACCAAACTGGAGCCCAGAGGTTCCTCTCCTAGATGTAGAGGTGTCCTTGATCTTGGTCCTCATGGCTCACGGGTTGAGCTGGTTTCCATGCGAGGCCACCGTTTCCCCTGTCACGTTCAGACCCCAGGCTCTACGTCACCTTTCAGAGGTCTCCTTTTCCACTTCATACTTTTATTTGCTGAAGTGCTTTGTGACTCACCACTACATGAAAGATACCACCAGCCCCTGTCTCTTCTGACGCTTGTCCCTTGCGCTGGACAAGGGTGACGTTGGGGAGGGACAGGAGATGGCTTCAGGGGGAGCTATTCCTTTCTGCTGCCTGCAGTAAACTGCTAATGAATATATCCTTTTAAGGTAAGACAAAAGCTTATTGTCAGTGGAGACATATAGCTGTCAGTGGAGACATATAGCTGTCAGTGGAGACATATAGCTGTCAGTGGGCTGGCGTGCATCTGTTTTCAGCGTGGACACCCTTCGTTGGCCGGAGAGGGCACCAGGGAAGTGTAGCTCCGATGGAGACGTCTGTGTGTGATCAGATGAAACCAGCCCTTTCCTGTGCCCCCATCTCATGTCTCCTAAATAATAAATTAGCTGGAGCAGAGATCATCTTTTTCTGGCTTCTGTGTTTAGGTATCGCTTAGCACAAAGCTGTTTCTATTTTGCATAGTAAAACAACTAAAACACTTGCAATAGCAATTATTTGATTACAAAAAGCTCCGGGCATAAACAGGATCTCCAGGAAAAGCTCTAATTTAAAATCAACACTTGTATAAATAATTTAGATCAGTAGACATATGTTTTACACTGGTGAGCTACTCCAAAACTGGGACGGATAGGTGGTTAATGAGATTAAGAAATCCGTTTGACTTTAGCCTACTCTGGTTTGGCAGTTTGTCCTCTAGATGATACCTTGTAGTAGACTTGTCATTGTTAGACTGAGGACCTAAGTCAAATCAGTGAAACACGAGCATTAATAACATGTTTTATTAGTAATTTCTATCGTAGTGCCACAGTGATGATATGACTAAGGAAGAAAAAATTCAGACAACCAGTAACTTCTGCAGAGCATTGTGTAAGAGATGTCAGGAGACCGGACAGGTTGGTTGGACAGTAGAAGGTAATTTCTTTTTTCTCCCAAACCCACCAATAAGTTTCATTTTACTCGTAGCTAAGGTTGCAGGGCTCTGATCGCTGGTGAACTCCAACCTAAGTTGCTTATGACCGAGGTTTATCTTTATATACTAAGGCAAGCCTAGGTCTGTATTTAGTTTATGTAAAACAATTAAACAGAAGGGGACAGGAGCAAGGAGAGAAGAGGCAAAACCACAGAGGGAAGAGACAGACTGGCAAGGATCCGCATTTTTGGAATGGGGCTCGACAGGAGGTGAGTTTAGGATTAATTTTCTCTGTGCTTGCTTACATCCATTTAACAGAGAAGACGTGGGAAATGAGGGGGCGCTTGGGGCATCAGAGCTGGAGGAGGTGCCGAGTTTCAGATATGATTGATTTCGTAGTCATTTTTGTGGACGGATCAGTGACTTTTGCACAGTGGTAAGAAACTCTTCAGCTTCTTAGTATCAGTAATATCAGACATCGCGCGGATGTCGCGCTGTTGTGTGACTGGCAGCAGGAGCACAGCTCAGGACATGGGAGTTCTGCTGTGGTGGTCGGTAGACACAAAAGTAGCATCAAAATGGTGGTGCTTTATCAGGTCCATTGTTTCTGTCGCCTATGGTATCTCCTCGTAGAGCTTCAGAAGGACTTCCCATTGCGAAGCAGTGATGCAGCGTTGCTGACGATGAGCAGGCGCTGCTTGATCCCTGCGAGTGATCAGTTAGCGATAACCCGGGGCGTGACACTGGATTGCGTTTGCTTCAGCGTTGCCGATTCTTCCTGTTGTGAACCTTTGAAGGATCTCTTTCATGAGGAGGAATGGAAACTTTTAATGAAGATTTCAAAATTTAGTTGCAAATCACAAACTTCTGTTTCGAACGGAGGGAAAAAACTGATGTTGAGACTTTAGCATACAAGTTTTCCGGTGTGAAATGAAGCTGTGGTTTATGAGCAGCTTGCTGCCCCCTTTTTCTTTGCAAAGCTGCAGCATTGAAGGGGTTTGGAGAATGTCAAGTGCAACTGTCACGCACCAGATACTCACACACCATCTTTCCACTGTAGCTGCGTGTTTCCAGTTCAGTGGCCAACACTGAACTCTCTTCTGGGTACTCTTAGCGTAAACATCACATACCTTAAAATACAGTATGCAAACCACAAACGCTCCTGCGCTCTCATCTCTCCACGGTGTGGACTTTTAACCTGATTACTGGGTCGAAAAATCTCCATCATCTCTATGCTTGTCAATACCTCAGCGGAGAGTATGATACAAAAAAACCTGAATGCGTTGAGGGTTTTCCTTCCACAGGCTTCTTGCACCTTCTCTCTTGATGCTGCGGAGCTGGTTTGTGCAGACATTTGGTAAATCAGCAATCCATGATGGCATCTTTTGGGGACTGGTGACAATTTACTCCGCCAGTGCCACAGCTGGAGTTGGCAGTAGGCAGGTTGGGCTTTTTGCAGCTCCGATCTCCTAAATACCACAGAGGTTCAGTCCAGAACTACAGAAAGACTTCGTATTTTCTAGCACTGAATATGGGCTTTCCTTAGGAAAAGGGAAATCATCTGTATAGCTCCAGTGTATGATTTTTTGTCTGAAGAGCAGTTCCAGTCATCTTTAATTCATCAACTGGGCTTGTCATCTCACTTCCAATTCCCACAATCAAATTTCTGTTGGGGCACGTTTGGCAGTTATCCTTCTAGTTCAGCCCCCTTCCAGGGTCTCATACCTGGGGAGCTGTCTCCATCAATCCAGAGTCTTCTCATGTCTGGTCTCCTTCCTTGCTGCACATTCACCTTCTTCCCTGAAGACCTTGGGGAGGAAAGCCTGGTGGAGGTACCACGGGGAGCTTCTGGGCCCATC